AGGTTTGTCTTTAAATCACAAGCTGTTATAGTGAGACAATATGTGTGAGACATAATTATTTTGCCTGAAGACACAGAGTAAAAGCTGAAAAAAAGAAAAAACTGGTAAATATAAGGGTTGGAGGACAAAAATGTGACTCATATAATGAAGACCACAATCTGTGTAAACCAGTTATTTCTTTCTATGCTGCTGTTCATGCTCATTTTAATAGAGCGAAGCAAAGGAGCAGAATTATCCGACTGGGTTAAGTTGTAATATTTATGTCAGTGAAACAAAGTCACCCATAAACATAGTTGTGAATCGTAAATATTGTAATCAGGGATATGTTAATGGTCCATTACGTAAATTAATTAGGTCTTTTGCCCTGGAGGCTCCTGAAATAGGCAGTAAACCAGAAATTTAAATTGTTCTCCATGTGTCAAGTTGAGGTGCCTGAAAACAGCATATCCATTTCTTCTAGCTCAGTTTTCTTGACCTTTCAGTTCTTTCTTGGCATCTGCTGAATCGTTAAAAATAAAATCCTTATGAGGGCACTGGCAAGTGGTTAGCAAAGCTCATTATAGCAGCTTTCTATGTTCAGCTGTTAAAGTGATAAAAGTCAGGGTTGAAATGGGAAAAGATAATCGTGTACTTTAGGAAAGGTGGCTGTCCAGTGACTGCCCTGGGAAGCCAAGTGAGCTAAGCTCAAAGCAAAGAACCGTGCAGGCCCCCTCAGCGCATCACTGTTACACTCCTGAGTGCAGTATCCCTGCAGCCAGGGAGCCCTCCTGCTAAAAGTGCATTACCCAAATCCTAAAGAAGTGTCTGCAATTCATTATGGATGAGATTTTGCTGCCCTGACCCAGGCTAGGAGCACAGCTGTATTCCTTGAAGGGTACAGTGCTGTTCAGCATGGAAAGAGTAGCAGAATCTGGGCGCTTGAAGTAGTTAAAATAATTGTGGTCTTCTGAAATTTCCCAGTAATACTCAGGTTGTTGTTCGAGTTGTTTTTTAATTAGTGCTATATGTTGAATGGACATTAATGCAGATTTTGTCTGCGGTATCTTTGTCTCATTTGACAGCTTTCAGGATTATTGTATTTGAAGACAGTATATATACCATTTCACAAGCCTAGTGTCAATCTTTTAAATGTATTGAAGGTGATTATGAAATTAACTCTACCTCTGTGGCTTTTGTGGTATTATCTTCTTCAAATGAATTGAAAGCCACCTTTGCCTCATTTCTTCCAGCCCTGCTGTATTTCTGTTCTACGAAACCTTGCCGTTAGCATTCTGAATGTCTTGATTCTGCTATTACCCATCACTTTCCATTTCAGTTTTCTCAAGGTGAAATCTCTCTGCGAATTCAAAAAGCTGTCTTCGTTCATTATGTATAAATGACTTTGCCCAAAGACTGAAAAACCTAAACGTAAGGTAAAGTTAAGGCCTAGCCACGTTTTCTGCTAGAATAATAAATGCAGGGGGGAAAAGGTACGGGTCTGATGAGCTGAGAACTTTTTCCTTACATAATTGTTTTGCTGGGTCTGGGCATTTTTTTGAAAACACCGTCATGCTTTAAATAACCATGTCTCCAAATGAACATAGCAATGGTGAAAAATATCCTATTCTTAACTAGCTTGGAAGGATACCAGGGAGTAATTCTTGCCCAGCTAATGTTTTTCATAGTCATTAAATATGTTTGCTCAGTAAGCCAGACGTTTTATTATGTGTACTACTCTAGTATATTAGAATTACTGTGATGTCTTTCTTCCCATGTCATGAATTACTTCATGAATTACCAGCTTGATCAGTGAGACAGTAATAATGATGAATGTGTCTGTTTATTTGTAGATCAGGTATCAACTATTTTTTAGGTTGGGAGTGGCACTGTTGATGGATGGGTGCCCTCTATGTTCTGTGTGTTCAAC